GGGGGGGGGGAAGGAGAGAGAACCTCCAGACCGTGAATAAAAGTGAGAGAGACAGAACTCATCACCTCGACTCCCTTCCCCAAGTCCTGCCCTCAGTCCGCTGTGCAGTCTCCAGCCCGGCCCCAGTCCTGTTTCTGAAGTGACCCAGGGTTACAGGCTACACGGTATTGTTTGAGCCAACGAGAGAGGGGCTTTTTGCACTCAGAGCCTGGACCCAGGGGAATGATGTCCACCGCAGGGGACCATGACGCCGAAATGCTCTCAACTCTCTCCTTCCGCAGCCTTCCAGACGGAGGGAAAACTCTATCTGATTCTGGACTTCCTGCGCGGAGGGGACCTCTTCACCAGGCTCTCCAAAGAGGTACACGGAGTGTAGGCTGTGGGTTTCTGCCTAGAATTCGAGGGACAGGAGAGCAGGGGGCGGGGGGGGGGGGGGGGGTCCGCACAAAGCTAAGAACAGCACATGATAGTAGGGAGGTAAAGAGGAAGTAGAGGTCACCCAAAGCTACAGTATTTGTATTTGGTAACTGAAGCCCTTTCTTTATGTATAGGATAGGGGGGGGTGTGTGTGTGCGTGTGTGTACATATTTGGTGTGAGGGCGTATGGTGTGTGGTGTGCGCGCATGTTTTAAAGATGTCTCACAAGTCAGAGAAGAAATCTGTTGTCCTTGAAAGATATTAAGAAAACGGACTCTTCCCAAGACCCCCGTGGAGCTCTAGAACCTTCCCTGTGTAGAGCAGATGGAAACCTGATTTATGTTACGTAGGGAAGACTTTATTTCACAACGTTTCACTTTCCACCGTAGGAAGACGCTATTAACACGCTGACCGCACATCCTGGGAGGGGCGTCGGGAGCGTCTAATTAGGGCTTCACCCGTGAGCACTCCGTGACCCCCAGGGCTTGTGCTTGACCCCCACTACCTGACTTAGGAACTTTCCGGGATGTCTTGCAGCGCAACGTGAAAGCTCTCTGGCCCCTGCTTCATGGGATGGAAAACCCGGCATCCTGCTCGAGGCAGTGATAATGCCAGGCTTTTAATCCTGTTGATTCTGTGCAGTTTCCTTTATACAGAAGAGAGCATGATGAAGGTGACAACGTGTTGACACGATGCACAGAACAGGTTCCCGGCCCTTCTGACGCAACCTCACCCGGCACCGGGGTTCTTACTGCGCTGTAACAGGGGCTTCGGGCTGGCCTCCCCCTTTCCTCACTGCCCACTTTTACAGCAGGAGGTCCCTCCATCCTGTGTGAAACTCCACAGTGCAGTCAGTCGAGGTGAAGCGGCAGTGGGGTCCCCGAGACCTCGGGCTGCTCTCTCCCTCTGTTTCGTGACGGCCCCTCGGGCAATGGCACAATTGATGTATTGGACTCTTGGCGATACAGGTTGAAAGCACGGGCTGGAGGATTCAGATCCAAGTTCTCCAAAAGCCCTTTTGGACCAGGTCTCTGGTCCCTTAACCTGCCTCACAGCTGAGCTCACGTTTCCAAAGATGGCTAATCATTGACCTCGGCCAGTTTCTCATCTGATGCCTATTGATTTGCTCCCTTCTCACCCCGGCCGAAGGAAGTCAGGCCACTGGGGCTCGGTCTGTCTAGCATCCAGTGTGACACACCCTGTTGTTGGGCTTCTTGACCAAAAAGGCAACACGCAAGGAACCCATAGGACCCTTTATTTCAGAGTAGAAGTGAAGTTGTCCAGCGTGGGCTCAGCGGGGTCTCAGTTCACAGAAACACAGGAAATGAATGATACCCTAACCCTAACCCTAACCCTAACGCTGTGTAAAAGAGTGCTTCCCTTCCATCCCCTTCACCGAGTCCACTAGACAACATCCTTGTGTGTGTCGGTCTCCGTACTGACTGCCTTCAAGAACTCACATCCATGGGTGTTTCATTCCCATAGAGAAACCGTTTGTCATTTGCACTTGGAGGCCACGCAGGTCTGTGCCCTAAGAGTGGCCAAGGAGAGTAATATGGCCGCCCCTGAGCACTAAGGTGTAGATATGCCTGTGTGGTTATGGACAGAGATGGAGAAAGTCGGGCCAAAGAGAATTCGACAGCCAGCAGGATTTCCTACAGGGAAATCCTTCTCACAGGGAAGCCCACTGAGTATGCTAACCAATTTGGAAAAGAAATACCCAAACAGGAAAGGTGCCAGTCAAGTGTGGAAGGCAGAACAGGAGATTCCAGAGGCCAGCGGGGCAACGAGCGTTGGTGGCACCCAAATGTCATCCAGGACTTGGGGTGCATGTCCTCCCCACTGCGAGACGTCCCTTTTGTGAAATGGATGTGCTCCACCTTCATTAGCCTGATGTATTCACTGTTCAATTCCCCAAATTGCCCTTATTCTGATTCTGAGCTTTCCAGGCAACCTTCTGATCATGTATTGATTTTTCACACATCTGCCTTCAGAGAGAATTCAGTCATGACATGGATTTCTAGTCTCTGTGACATTCATTTCTCATGGTGCGGGTAAAGAATGGTTTCTGATACCATCTGGCTTGCTGGTAAGGTGACTACAAAATTACATGCTGTTCTCACAACCGCAGGGACAGGGAAACAGTAGGAGACAATGACCTTGAGGTGTGCTGGGCGCCATGGCCTCGTGTGTGTTTTAGCTAAACCAGGGTCCCTCTCCCACCAGCCTTTCCTGCAAGGGGCACCCACCGATGCTACACGGGTGGGTTGTATTTGGTAGGACTTGTCCTGCTTTGGGGAGATGGCAGTTCCTAGTTTGCATAAACCCAAGGGGTGAAGAGGTGAACTTGAAGGGAGGAGGGATGAAATTTGAGACATATTTTCAGTAAATCCTTCAGGCATGTTTATATCAGAGCTTCACAGCGTGGTTTAGTTTTTTGTATTAAAGTGTTCCATCAGAAGCACGCATATTAAAACACAAACCCAGAAATACACTCCAGAGCTGCATGGTTTGTGGGGCAAGAAAGGTCGGGGGAGGAAACTCTGCCCGGGGCTCTGCCCACAAGGCTGAGTGGCTTTGTGAGGAGTGCCCCCTCCCCTTCACTGGTCCTAAAACTTTGCTGAGAACTCACGTTTCCATTGTAGGAGTCGCAAGAGCCTTGTCTGGGGGCCGCGGTCTGCAGAGCGGAGCGGAGTCTTCGTGGGGCTGAGTGCCTCTGTCTTTAAAGCCAGCAGCCACAGAGCAGGCTGAAGTCTTGTTCTCTCTCCTGCCAGGTGATGTTCACGGAGGAGGATGTCAAGTTCTACCTGGCTGAGCTGGCCTTGGCTTTAGACCACCTGCACAGTCTGGGCATCATCTACAGAGACCTGAAGCCAGAAAAGTGAGTGAGAACAAGGCAGGGCAGGGCCCTCTTGCTGCTCACGTCGCCTTGTCCCTGTACTTAATTCCCCAGTGAGGGCATAGCCTGGGGACATTCCGGTGCTAGCACCCCACAGGCAGGGATTCCACCTGCCCGCCCCTGGAAAGGTGCCCAGACATAGGTGTGGCTTGAGCTGATTTGTGTGGGATGGTCCCAGCCCATTCTCAACCTGACCCTCGTAACACCCCCCAAGGGAGGCAGGGCCGGGCCTGCATCCCTGTGGTCCAGAGGAGGCTGGGCAGGTAGTGGAGGCCGGGCAGGTAGTGGAGGCTGGGCAGGTAGGGAGGCTGGGCAGGTAGTGGAGGCTGGGCAGGTAGTGGAGGCTGGGCAGGTAGGGAGGCTGGGCAGGTGGGGAGGCTGGGCAGGTAGTAGAGGCTGGGTAGGTAGGGAGGCTGGGCAGGTGGGGAGGCTGGGCAGGTAGGGAGGCTGGGCAGGTAGGCAGCCCACCATTCCTCCTCCCACACCCCCTGCCCTCCCTCCTTAGGTGGGATCCATCCTGCACTGGGAATGTCTCACACGCCACCTCCTCACTAGTGTGTGTCTTCTGTGCCGGTCTCTTCCCCGTCACCACCTCCACCTTGGAAAGCCCTTTCAGCTGTCTCGACAGGCCCATTTCTAGGTGACGAGTCAGATGAGCCTTTCTGAGTTTTTCTAAAAGACAGTGGCACCAGATTCCCAGCCCAAATTCCGATAAGATTTGTGTATCTTTGGCAGTGATCATCTGTAATATTATTTCTAGGATATTTTGCTAATCCAGTCTAAATCTTTTTTTAAAAGTCCCTCCAAATAATAATGTTCTTATTTCAGGTTTTTTTCCTGCTGTTTTCTGTGTAGAGCTGGCACAAACTAGGAGGGATCCACTTGAAAAGGAAGGATCTCGAGGATGCTATTTTAAGTTCATTTGGTTGACCTGACAGTGGTCCCTGCAGCAAAGTTGATGATTTTCTCCCTCTGGCCTGTGACGTGGTTGATAACAGCCCCCTGTCCCCCTATAGACTGAGGTCCGTGCCTGTCCCTGGATATGTGGGGCCTGGTGGGGCCCCAAGGCTTGGAGCACAAGGCAGCCCAGGCCCTGAGGGCACAGGAAGTAGATCCCAGCCCTTGTTCCTGGTCCCTCACTTCTTTACCTGCAGGGAACTGAGAAAAATGCAAACGCTGCTCTGAGAAGCGGCAGTCGTTTAAGGGAAATGCCTGGGTTTGCCTAGAGACCAGGAACGTTGAAAACGTCCCTGATGCAAAGCGTATTTGCCTGCGACCAGAGGGAAGTGCTCCCCACGCACAGCTTCAGCTTAACCACCAGCTGGGTACAGCATCACTGGCTGCACGTGTAAATGATGTTTAAATAACCGTGAAAGGCTCTCTCCTGAGTATCCCCATAAGAGCCACGTCCTGCAAACACAGCATCGCCTCCGGAAAACGGGCGCTGAGGCCACTGTCACGGCCAGCTCTGCTGACCTGCTCGCCTCTGCTGTGAGCTCTGCCCCATGAAGGCAGCACCCCGATTCTCCCTCTAGTTAAAGGTCAAAGGGATCTTTATAGTTAAAAATAGTAATATGTAATTGCAGGATTGAAGAGAAAGGATTTTTTTCCCATTAGAATTAGTAGGGAATTAATCATGAAAGTTGCTCACTTCTGGGCAAAGATTAAGTATAACTGAAAAGCAAAGATAAGAATATTTGCTTCTTTCATTGTAAATTGTCATCTTAATTATACACTGCAACTTTTTCCTTCCCATTTCCATAAAATAGTAGGTATGATTTTTATTCCCATGGCAGCTTTTTTAAAATTGTGGTAAGATAAACATGACATAAAATTTACCACCTTGACTGTTTTCAAGTGCACCGTTCAGTCATGTTAAGAGCATTCACACCCTTTGTGCAGTCGTCTCCACCATCCATCTCCCAGACTTCTTTCATCCTGCAAAATTGACACCCTGTCCCCATGATACCCCACCGCCCTCCCCCTGCCTCTGGCACCCTCCCTTCTATTTTCTGTCTCTGTGGATCTGACTGCTCTAGGGACCGCGTGTAAGTGGGATCACACAGTATTTGTCCTTTTGTGGCTGGCTTATTGCCCTCTGCGTGGTCTCCTCGAGGTCCCTCCATGTGGTAGCCTGTGTCAGAACTTCCTTCCTTTCCCAGATGTGTTTAAGGTACCACATATTAATCCTCACAGCCCACGTCCTGGTCTCTTTAGATCCGGGCCGGTGCCCCCCAGGAGCTGGTGGAACAGAGTTTAATTACAGCAAAGAAAGAAACAGGGCCTGTGGGCTGATGGGCTGGAGAAGGGCCTCGTGGAAGGCTTGCCTGCGTCCATCCCCTCAGACGTTCCCTCCGCCCTCCCGTGGGCATCAGCCTCGCCGTACTCCAGAGAGCTGGGAGCAACAGGACAGCGCTCCCCGTGGGGCATCTGGACGTCAGATGCCAGCACGCCGAGAGCTTGGCCCAGGGCACTAGGAGGGACCCCCATGGGACGGGCTCCCGCAACATGGCTCCCGGGGGCTGAGGCCTGAGGTGTCGCAGACGCCCCCGGAGGTCGCGGTGGTCCCCAGGCTCAGGCGGGGCTCGTGGAGGAGTCTGGCCAGAAGAGCGGGCTCTAGCCATCGAGAGCCCGCCTGGGTTCAGGAAGTCCCCTCTGAGCAGCTCTGCGTCTGCACGAGCCAGGGCACTTGCAGACCCTTTCAGGCCCATTCATGCAGGACAGACAGACTGGGGGGTCCCCAGACCTTCCCCTGGGCTTGAGAGGGTCTCACACCTGCAGTCCCCAGCGTGAGCCTGCTGAGCCAGGCACAAGAACATGGGGGTGCCCTTTGCCCCCCACACACCACGGATGTGCCTGTGCTCCTGACCCAGCAGAAGCTGCCGACTAGGGAAGCAGTGGTCTGAGGGCCACGTCTGCGAACAGCAGGTGACCTGCCGCCCCCCAGCCAGCGTGGAGACTGCTGCCCAAGGGCCTGGGCGGCTCCCCTGGGGTCTCCGTGGCCTCCCGTGTGTCTCGTCTCTTTTAAAGCATCTGCTTCCCTCCCCTTTCTTTCAGCATCCTCCTGGACGAAGAGGGGCATATTAAGATCACAGGTTTGTAAAATTCCACCCGCCACCGACCGGTGACGTCGCCCTGGCGGCCCCGGTGCCTGGGGGCCGACCCGGAGCTCAAGCCCTCTCTCTCATCACACCAGCGTGTGCACACGGGGCTTCCTTCCCCATGGCCATGGCTTAGTTCTGTTGGTGTGTGTCTTCCCGGGGGTGCTCACGCTTCCCAGGTCGGCCCTCCTTCCTTCTCTCCCTCTGACTTAAGACCCTTCTAGCGCCTTCCTGCTGACTCTCAGCGTCACCGGATGTTTTGTCCAAGAATCTCATCTTAGCATGTCTGCGGGGCCAATCTCCCCACGGAAACCTCAAACCCCTCCCACTGCCATCGGTTCAGCCAGAACGAGCACCGCCCCCCCTTGTTCCGTGACACCCGCTTGTGCTAGTTTCCTCTCGCTGTGTCACAATTACCAACCTCGGTGGCTCAAAACAGCATCAGCTCATCATCTTAACAGCCCTGGTGGCCACAAGTCCAAAACAGGTCTCACAGGGCTAAGACCAAAAGGGGTGCACTCCTTTGTGGAGGCTCCAGGGAGGATGGTCCTGTCGCCTCTCCAGCTGCCCACTTCCCTGGGCTCACGGCCCCATCCTTTTCCTTCAGAGCCAGGGGGCAGCACCCGTCTCTCTCTGACTCTGGCCTCTGCCCCCAAGTCCACATAAGGACCTTGTACTTACTGTGCGTCATCCTGGCGCCCCGGGATAACCTCCCTTCTCGAGATACAGCAGGGCCCCCTCTGCCAGGTAAGGTGACCTATTCATAGGTTCCAGGGCTGGGGCGTGGACGTCTCTGGGGGCCATTCCGCTGGCCCCCCGCTGGCCGGGTCCTGGCCTGGTCTTCACTCACATCCGCTCCCCGTGTCCACCAGCGGGCTGTCCCTGCGCAAATGCTCCCCCCTCACCTCCAGTGGCAGCTGTCTCTGCTTAGGTGGGACACCTGCTCTACCCCCGTTCTGTCTTCAGAGCCTCCTGCCCTCTGCACCTTAGCCCCACAACATCTGGTCTCCCTGCTGCCTGTTCCCTTCTCTGGGCTGGTTCAGCCCGTTCTTCATGGACCCCCAGTCCCAGCAGAGTGCGCAGAGCAATTGACAGTTACTGCTTGTTAATGTCAAACAGTGAGACTTCTTAAATTTCTCATGAATTATGCACAAGAACATGGCACTCATCGGAAAGACCCTTTTAGACGGCGACCTCCTGGCAGGGGCTGCACAGGTCCAAGGGCATCCGCAGTGTCTGCTGGTGGGACCTGCCCCCCGCCATGAGTCCAGTTTGACCTGCTGGGGCCTTCTGTGCCTTTCCACGTGTAGAACAGCAGAAGAAATTAACCCTTAACAAGCTGAGAAAGTAAACCTGACTTGACTTCTGCAACTGGTTAAGGCAGTTCAAAAGTGCCCGCCTGGCATTTCGTGGAGATTGAAGGTTCTGCTAGCACTTGACCAGTTTTCTCTGCTGAGTGAGGAACTGCACGTGTATTATATAAATCTCACGTGTACAGAGGTAGCTGGAATAAGTATGAGCTACCACGTTAAATTTATGTGTCATACAATAGAGTTTTGGCTTCCTCTGTTTTAGTCATTGTGGTCAAACAAGCCCCGAGACTCTGATGTGCCGAGTGAGTCACTTCGGCATTGAGGGAGCAGCCCGACGCGGGTGCTGGAGACTCTCACTTAGCCGTGAGCTCACTTGGTCCTCACGTGGCCCCGGGAAGAAGGGATGTCAACCTTAAACTCACAGATGGTGAATGTGGAGGGCTCTGTAATCTTAGAACCAGCGTGTTCACTGCGTCCTTCATCCACTGGGTGCAGTAACACGGGCACTGGAGGACGGCGGCCTTGGCGGAAGGTTTTGTGGACAAGGTCCAGGGGAGGCTACCCCATGGCAAATGCTCTGAAGCCCCGCCCACCTTGTCTGCCTTCCCCTTCGTGCCTCACCAGCCGGGGACCTCCTTCCCGAGTGGCCTCCTGCTCGTAACCCCTTTCCCGCCCTCTCCTTCAGAACAAGCGCCGTCTTCCTGCCCTTCCATCGGAGTAGCCCCGCAGGCCTCTCCGCTGGGGCCGCTGACGTCCAGGGTGTCCTGCTAAAAACAGGCTCCCAGGGAATTGGTGTCGGGCGTCAGGAGTGCAGTTTCTGGGCGCCCTCGGGAGCACTCCTGAACGTGTGGGTCCCTACAGACGCTGACCGGGAGGTGTTGGGTTTGGTTCAGCTTCTGTGGGCAGCTTGGCCCCAAGAGGACAGCAGCGGGAGGTGGGCCCGCCGGGCAGCCAGGGCTCCAGGTGCTGCCCGGAGACTGAGCGCTGTCTGCTCTTTCTCTTTTAGACTTCGGGCTGAGTAAGGAGGCCATCGACCACGACAAGAGAGCCTATTCGTTCTGCGGGACGATCGAGTACATGGCGCCCGAGGTGGTGAACCGGCGGGGCCACACGCAGAGCGCAGACTGGTGGTCCTTTGGCGTGCTCATGGTATGGCGTGCTCGTGGTATGGTATGGCGTGCTCGTGGTATGGTATGACGTGCTCGTGGTATGGTATGGCGTGCTCGTGGTATGGCGTGCTCGTGGTACAGTATGGCGTGCTCGTGGTATGGTGTGCTCGTGGTATGGCATGCTCGTGGTGTGGTATGGCATGCTCGTGGTATGTATGGCGTGCTCATGGTATGATGTGGCGTGCTTGTGGTATGGCATGCTCGTGGCACGGCATGCTTGGGATATGATGTGCTCATGGTAATATGTGATCATGGCTTGACGTGCTTGCGGTGTGGCTTCTGCTGTCCCCAAGGTGCCCGCATGGCTATCCCCTGAGCGCCCGCCCGTCCCTGGGGTTCGGAGATCCAGGAGTGACCCGAGGAAAACAGTGCCCGTTGTGTGACTGAGGACAAGGGGGGCCACCGATTCCTGACCCTAGCATTTCCTGGCACCCTCCTCTCTGTTTCCCCCCCCCCCCA